CCTTTGAATTCAAATCACTTACAGATTCATTAAATGACATCAAAAGTACAATAGATGCTTCTAATATCAGGTAATTCATAAGCCGCCTCCTGGTCACTTTATATTAATTCATAGTGGTTTCCAGCACAAGTTTTAAGAATTAGGCATATTTGTGAAGTACTCATGTGATTTTTATCCTTCAAATAAATTATGAAAGAGCTTTTCAGTTATATCCAGTCTGTTGACGATACAAACTTCACATGGATTTTTATAGAAGATATATAATATGTAGGTTTGGGTTTGGCATGAAAGTCGACTCAGAAATGGAGCTTCCCCGTCAGAGATGCATCCTCGTCTGGGCGCTGCTGTGGCTCCTTCGCTGCTTCACAGACTTTCAGCTCCTCCCGCAGGGGATCACGGCTGCTGTCAGGGCAGATAGATGCCTTTGTAAAAATTGTCTTTCATAACTTTGTGAACTAAAGTAGTTAACCATGTTTCCTTCTTTCTTTAGCTGCTTTCAGAATAACGTGGAAATCCATGTTGCACACATTCAGAGCGGCCTGAGCCAGATGGGGAACTTGCACGCCTTTGCAGCAAATAACACCAACAGAGACTGAGCAGAAGATTTAAGTACTCCACCTGCTTAGGACTTTGTTTTCGAGAAGTTCTTTTCCTTTATATAGGCTTCCAACACCAAATAACCCAACTGCTGGAAAATAAGGGAAATTTAAATCTCCAAATAAGGCATTTTAATATACTGTACTGCTTCTTAAACCAGCATTGCTGACCAGCATTATATTTATTTTTCTTTTATTATTCAGCTGCAGTAGCATTGCTTATGTTACATGTTTATTAGCAAGTGTTTTTAAACTGAATATGTCTGAACATAATATAATTTCATGGAAGAATATGTTGACCATTTTTTTAACATGCATGAATTCAGCGCAACACATACAGACAACTACTGCAATGGAGAACATGAAGAAACGTGGCCTTTGTGTGCGTACGTGTGGCAACGTGGAAATTCCATGTAGAAATTGACAACTCCGGTTCATTTAGTTGCTCACCATCTCAGTCTTCAAAAGATAACATCATGAGATATGGGAAGTCCTGGTTTTAAGGAAGCCACTGGAATGTAGATGGGAAATATGGACTTGACAAGTATATATGACATATACTTGCAATGTGACATGGTTCTGTAGATCATTTTATAATAATAAATATTTTAATTTATCATAATTTATAAAAGAAACCTTTGTTGTTTGTCTGTTGAAAGAAAATGAAGGAGCAGGAAAAAAACATTACTGCAAAATGCTAAATTTCAGCAAGTGGATTTGGCATGTCTTTTCCCGTCAATTCAGGGCAAAAAGTGCTATTGTGAGATTTATTAAAAAAAAAAAAAGACTGATAACACACTATTTTCATATTTTTTGTTTATTTGCACAACTTTTGAACCAGATTACTGGTTAAAATCCAACAGTACACAATTTATAAAGTAAAAAGATTTTATAAGGATAACAAATATAATAACCAGTGCTATGAAATGCAGAATAAAGGTTTGTATTCGGTTGTGGGGTTTTTTTTGTTTTTGATTTTTGGTTTTTTTAAGGAAAACCCTGCCTAAAATGTTAATCTTGTAAAAAAAAAAAAGTGTGTATTTGGAATTTTCTTTGTTTTAATGTAGAATATTATAAAGTCAAAATATAATAAATTGTTTTCAGATTTGGAGTTTAAGATATAGCTGTAGAAGTGGCTTTCTTTTAGATGTCTCATAAAATGAGGCTTTTTATATGTTAATGTATAATAAAACTGAAACAAGATTATTTTCCATTTGAAATTTTTGTATAGTTTAAAAATGCTTCCATATTCTTGGTTGGTATTGTGCCACTGCAAAACTTTAGCGCAGAGTTTATATTTAGCTAAACTGTTATGTTAATTAAGAAATGCATAAATCTTTTATTCTTAATATTTGTAATTTTAAATAAATTGATCTATGAAAATTAATAGTCTCCATTTTCTTTTAATTAATACAAGTTGATAGGTATTTCCTCTATTTAAAAAGTTTTAAAGAATTGTAATTTCCACTAAATTATATTTTTAGAGGGAAACAGCGCAGATTAATTGCCAAGTCATTTTGAATTACAATACCATCCACTATTATTTTAGGGAGGGTTTTTTTTTTTCCATCTGAGTAAATCACTGTGGAAAACACTAAGCAAGTAAGTGACTCGGCTTACTATAGACCTAGTGAAAGGCTGATTTTCATATATTCTGCCTAGAATTAGGTAAGCATTTTTTACATTTTTTCTTTTACATTTCGTAAGGCTTCCTTGTCAAACTTAAATTATACAGACCCCGTTTTGCACATGCAGTTGGCCCTCTGTATCCGCGGGTTCCGCATCCACAGATCGGATCAGGGACTGCATTCACGACACACGAGAGTTGAATCTGCGCATGCAGAGCCCGCTCATTCAGAGGGGGCCAGCAAAGGGACTGGAGCGTCTGCGCGGGGTCCTGGACCCCATCCCCGCTGGTACTGAGGGACAACTGTATTAATTAAGCACTCTGTGTCTTTCAGTGCCATCATGTGTTGACGGCAGTAACTGTGCCTAAGACTATTTGAATTTTACTTCTGTTTAAGGAAGAAGAAATCTATATAATTCAAAGTAGTCATTTTGGGTCAACTGTAACTTAATTTGAATGTTGCTGCCACTGCTTAACACATTTTTGGTGCTCTAAAGAAAGCTGTCAAAGCCAGACTGGGCAAAGAAACAAGCACATCATGTGTCATGTAGATTTGGTTCTGAATTACTTTTAGTTCCAAAAATCAGATTCACTTGCTACCAATGAGAATCTACCAAAAGATTTGCCTATTAAATTTTTTCTCTTGAATTCACACACCTTTCTCCTTTATCACCACTACTCTCATCTCAGCCCAGCTACCATCATCACTAGCCTGGAACAGCGCAGTGGTCTCCTAACTTACCTCCCAGTACCCACTCGGCCCTCCTGAAATGCAGCCAGAGTGATATTCTTAAAATGCAGATTTGATCATGTTATCCCCGTCTAAAGTCTTATGGCTGTCAGGACAAATTCAGAACTCTTTTGCCCTGGGATAACATCTGCTGCCAATCCTCCTCTTTTTGCTGAGGAAGACTGGCCCTGAGCTAACATCCAAGCCTATCTTCCTCTACTTTATATGTCGGATGCCTACCACAGCATGGTTTGATAAACAGTGCCATGTCTGTACCCGGGATCCGAACTGGTGAACTCCGGGCCACTGAAGCTGAAGGTGTGAACTTTACTGTGCCACCAGCAGGCCCCCAGAACTCTTTACAAGACCTACAAAGCCACGCATGGTCTGGCCTCCCCTACCAATGTCTCCATCTTGCTCCTTACTCCACAGGGCCTTTGCACATGCAGTGCCCTCTGTGTTGCCTCTCCTCTCCTCTTTGGTAACTCCTGATCATCCTACAGATCTTACCTTCAGCATCACTTTCTGGGGAAACTTTCCTGGACCACAACACATCTCCAGGTGCTCACCTACCTCTCCTTCCAGCAACCGTCACATCTACAATTTTGTATATCTTCTTTTGTTTCCATACTGCCTCTTGGCTCCATGAGGGGAGGGACCGTTTCTGGTTTTGCTCACCATTTTATTTCCAGGCCCTGATAAAGTGCCTGTTCATAGGCACCAGATAGTTGTGGAATGAACAAATAAGAGGTTCTAAAGAGCTCTGAGCAACATTAGCGTTCCTGGAATAAGAGTATGGTCTTCCATGGTGATTGCTTTGAAAGATGAGACAGTGCTCACCAGGAGGTAGAAACTCTGATTCGGGGGTGCCTTTAAACCCATCACACTATCATTAGTCCCCACTAAAAAGGCAAGACCAAAATCAAAGGCATTCTCTGGTGGTGGATAAATGGATGGACTGGGTTAGTCCTGGGTTTGAGTCCTGGCTGTCATTTACTAGCTGTGTGATTGTGAACCGCTGCTTAACTTTAGTTTGTTGATCTTTAAAATGATGATAGTCCCTACCTTCCACGGCAGGTGTGCAGATTCAACGTAAAATCCCTGTAACACAGAGGGCAGGGTCTCTTAAGAGTCTCAGAGAGGTGCAATCTACTGGTCTTAGAGGATCCCACAATTTTAAAATGTTAAAAATGTGACAAGATTTAAATACTTGTAGATTTTTAAATTGTTCACTGGGGAAAACAACACAACACAATATAAATGCAATAGTATAATTAATCAGCTAATTACAAGATTTACATGGAAACGGGATCCTTAGTGGACTGTAAGTTTAAAGTGTCCTGTGTCTTTCAGTCTTATGAATGTGTTTGTATCATTTCATTTGGCCATGTCACAAGTCTAAATGCGAACGAGGCTCTGACCGTGAGACCTCCTGGCCACGCCCACGGCAGGCCCTGAGCACAAGGCTCGGCACACAGTAAAAATGGTGACAGCTAATGCTGATCATGTCATTGTTGCTTTCAGTTTTCAAAGGTTCAGAAGTCAGGTCGCTACTCTGCGAGCCATTTGAATACCACCTCTGAAAGTTAGGAAACTGGCATGAATAATCTCCAAGACATTCAACACAGCTCCAACTCTTCTAGAACCATCAAGACGTGGGTCCTGGCCTCGCAGTGAGGCCCTCCCACAGGCAGTTTACAAAGAAATCTCACCTACAAACAGTTTCCTTTCACCTCAGGAGTTTGAGAACCCTCAACACATCAAAACAATGTTTTATCTCAGGCCAATTTAGAAACAAATTTACATACCTTCTTAATGGATAAATTGAGAAAAAGAAGTCTCCTGAAACCAAAGGACTCGTAACTCAACTTTGACCAAGCCAAAGACAGGCTGTGAACCAACTTAAGTTTCTCAGCACAGCGGCCTGCTGCTACGATGATTACCAGCTATGAACAACATTTGCAGAAACGTGTTTCTTTTGAAATGTCGTTCACGGCCAGATAATACGTCCTGAGTAGTCATGGAATGAAGCACGGTGCCAAGTGCTGTAGGACAGAATTCATTTAATCAGATTTAACAGAGAAACATCTGTGGAGAACATTTAATAACCCACTCAAGTTGCACGGATGTACAGTAACAAGTGCTAAGGGGACTGCTGGGCGATTGAAGTAACAGGTACAAAATCAGGATCAGAGAAAGCTTCAGACTTCAGACAGAGAGAGGGCTCGAGTATTTTGAAAAAGAGAGGTATTCATTTGGTTCCAAAACTGAAAGCAAGTGGCTTTGAGACAGAGGCCCCTATTGGGGATGGGTGACCTTAAGATCTGCATAACTGTCCCGTGGGCTACGGATGTCGGTCATCTGGGAGAGTCACCAGGAGCTTTTTATAATTTGGTAGCCACTGGAGGCTATGACAGATTTCTCAACAGAGTAATTTTTTAAAAGTTAAGAAGCTAGAGGCATGGGGCTCTTGAAATAAATAATCTGGATGCACAGTCACTCGAGGTACGAAAGAGTGTAAAGATGACAGGCCAAACGTAAAACTAGTAAATCTTGGTGAGAAGATGAGGACTGAAGGAGATGGGTTAGACGGAGTTTAAGGTTAGAAGGTAAGCTTAAGCTTCCTCCACTTGGAGGAACCATGAGAAAAACAGCAGCTTGTCAAGCACAAAGGGAAACCGAGTCAAGATGAGGCATTCCTGTGAAGAAGATAATGGGTTCTGAAAAACTAGTCCAAAAAATGAGAACAGGACTAGCAAGAAAGAGTAGGGATGCAGGCCAAATCGGATGTGCAAATTTGGAGACAGGTAGGTAAAAACGAGTGCCAGAGCTCCTAGGGGGTGTGAGCTACAGAGAAAGAACTGGGCATGGGTAAATGTTCATAGGTGAAAGGGCAGGAAGCTTCGCAGGTGAGAGATGACTGTCAAAACCATCCGAAGGTTGACATGGATGTGTCCTTAACAAGGAAGCCAGAAAGAACAGGATCCTGCTGTGTCTCCCTGGCTGTCAGTCACAGCTCCTCTGAGCTGATCCTGAATTCTCCCAGAATCCTCAAGAGTTACCAAAGGCAGAAAAGATGTGTTCCTCCCAGGAGTCCAGCTTTGAACCAATGTCTTCAGAGAAAGAATAGGTTTCAAAATCCTGACCTTGGGAGCGAGAGTCAGAGATGCCCCCTCCAACCCGGCTGGGAGCCGGCAGGCAGCTCACGTCCACCTCAGAAGGCAGCGGGGGCTTCAAACATTTCTCTCCGGTGTCTGGAGCAGAGTGGTGGAGGGAAAGCCCGGGCCTGGCTGCCGGCTGAAAGGATTTCCCGCTCTGCCGCCGTGACTTGGCCCGCCTGTTCTGGAACCACACCTGGAAGAAGGGAGGGAGAAACTGCCTTGGGGTGGAGCCCTGGTGCTCCTCTCACCTTCATAGTTCACAGTCAGTTCCAGTGTCACACGCCCAGGCTCTGCTCCAGAACGGTACGGTTTCAAGAAAGCACTTGGGCTGAGGGTCAGAAGTTCAGGGCACCTGGCTTTCTCTGCCTCACCATCCCCAGGGGCACAACTGGAATAAGGCCTGGTTCTATCGAGGTATGTTAAGGGACATTTGTAATGAAAGATAGGGTCACAGAACTAGAAGCACTTAGAATGTGAGGGGAAAATGCTACCATGCTGAAAGATGGCAGGCGTCAAAATTAGTGTGAAAACCGGTTTTTGAACGTGTACTGCCTTGTCAGATTAATCCAGGAGGTGTTTTGCTCAGTGGACTTCACCTCTGTGAATAAATTTTTCTGCTATTTCCCCACAAATACCGAGGGCGTCCTGCTTAGGAAGCCTCTGGGCCGGCTGTGGAGACTGACAGATGTCTTCCCCAGGGATGCAGAAGAAGTCCACTTTGATGGGGTGGTAAAATGAAGGCTCCTCCCTAAAACTGCGCTGGGACACAGACCAAGGTGCCGCAGACTCCCAGGGGAACACGCCGGCGGCTTACCACCACCGAGCTCCAGGATTCTGATTTAAATTACTTTAGGCAACACACGCGCCTCGCACTAGATTTTTCAAACTGTGACAAGAAACTCCGTGTGTTTCAGGCTTTACCCCAAGATGCTACATCCTTTCCAACCAAAATTCCAGACCCAAAACCTGCCAAGACAGGGGCCTGGGGCCCAGGGGGCGCTCGGTAAGGGAGCCCGGCCCGGCCTCAGTTACCATTCTCAGGCCAGGGGAAGACACCAGCGGCGCCTCCGCCGTCTCTGCTTCCTGGATAAGGGAAAACTGTGAAAATGCTTCCTGTCACTCTCCTGCAGAGGATGCACTTCCCGACTGTTTCAAGGGACCAGCGAGCCTCCCCAAGGGGCCCTTACACTTAACCGAGAGAGTCGAAGTCACTGAGTGCGTGCCTGAGTTGTTTCATGTCAGCACCATCACTCTATGCACCAGGGACTGACATCCCCTCAATTTTACAGCCCAGGACCCTGAGGCTCCAGGGCGGTGACTTGCCCAACGTCAGGCAAGTAGGGGCGCCGGCTGTCGCCCTGGGGATCCCTGCCAGGGCCCCCGGCGCCTCCGTCCCGGGGCGCACAGGGGAGCGCGCCGGGCGGGACTCACCTGAATCCGGGACTCGGGGAGCAGGGTGAGCGCGGCCAGGCGCTCGCGCAGGTGGATGTCGGGGTACATGGTCCGGCGGAAGACGAGCTCCAGCAGCCGCAGCTGCTCGGGGCTGAACGACGTGCGCTTGCGGCGCTGCGGCGCCGACGGGGCGGCCGTGCCTTTGGGGGGCGCAGGCGGGCCCAGGCCGGCGGGGGGCGGCGCGGCTGGCCCGGGACCCCTCCCGAGAAAGCCCGCGAAGGCGGCTGGGGCGCGGCACTCGGGGCCGGGGCCGGGGCCGGGGGGCGGCGCGGGGAGCAGGGCGGCGGCGGGGCTGGGGGGCGGGGGGAGCGCCCCGCCGGCGCGCGCGGGCCGGTACGCGTGGACCCCGGCGCGCGCCCCAAACTGGAGCTGGCTGGGCTCCGCTGCGGCCATCGCTGCCGAGCCCCTGCGTCGCCGGGAGGGGCGCGGGCTCGGTTATACCGACCCGGGGCCGAGGGAGGGGGCCGGGCGGCGGCGCGATCAAAGCGGGGGACGGGAGGAGGCCCGTGTCTCTTGGGGTGCGAGCCCGCCCCCAGCCTCGCCAGACGCCGGTGGGCCATAATCGCTTCCGCCGACCGTGGGACGCAGGAGGGAGGCGCGAACTTGGGCCCGGGTCCCCCACCCCCATCCCCATCCCCATCCCCACCCCCTCCCCGGGCCATCCGCCCGCCGGTCCCGCCACCGCAATCCACATCTCGGAGGAAGGCTTGCTCGGGGAGGGGCTGCCCCGACCGAGGGGCCCGCGTGCTCGGGCGGAGCGCGGACACACCGCCCTCCTCTGCGGTCCGTGCGCCCACTCGGGGCGGCGTGGGCCTGGGGCCGCCGATCTCCCGCGTGACCAGGCCAGGGAACCTACCCGCGGTCGCGCCTATGGTCATTAAAGGTGTTTGTTTATCCCCCCCTGCTATGTGCTAGACCCTGTACCAGGCTGGTCAAACAGCCCAGCCCTGCCCTCCGCCAGCCTCCCTAACACATCCTGAATCAGAGGAGGGAGGCAGATAAGGGGACCTCAAAGGCAGGCGGTAAACTGATCCTGAGGAAGCGGGTGGGGGTGAGGACGCTTTCATCCGGAATGTCCGCGCGGGCCCAGAATAACAGGCGCTGAGGCAGGCAGGGTTGAAAATGTGTCCACGTCCAGCAGACGCCGCCTCTGGCCTTTCTACAGATACCGAATGATGCTCAAGCCCCGTCTAGCTGGAAGGGAGGAGATGAGACGGGCTCCGTGAAGTTTCTGCTCCCTCTGGCCTCTGCCCTCTGCCCTTTGGGCCGCCTTTAAGGTTCCCGTTTTATCCTGGTTTGTGTTGTGGTTCTGGGTTATGTATCTGCTTCCCCTCCTGGATTATAAAGTCGTAGGGAGCAGGAACCCATTTCTCTCATTCCAGGTCCATCTCCTATGAATAAGGCACCGTGCTGGACCCTCAGTGAACGTCTGTTGAATTGGATGTCACTGAATTCACTTTATAGAAAGAGAAACTCTTGGTCCAGTGTGGGGACTGCTCCACCACAGGGCACGTCCTCAGCAGGCCCAGGTCTTCTTGCTCTCAGAACCGGAGCCCTGATGTCGGCAGGACCATTCACTGACACTGAGTGAGTGTCGTTTACTCAAAGGCGGCTCTCTGTTGGGAGGGCCTTGCAGGGGACAGCCCCTGTCCTGTCGCTGTCCATTCTAGAATGCTACAAGACAACCTCAGGAAGAGCCCAGATATTTTCCTCCTGAGCAGACTTCCCAGCTGTCAAAGCAGGAAGGATTCTCAGGGCTGCTGCAAGGAGTCCTGTGCTTGACTGTCTCCTAGTTGGGGTGGGGATGAGGGTGTCAGGGACTGTGTTCCAGACCCCCTGCTCCGCTCCTGTGGCTCTCACAGGCAGCCTGACAATACTCACAGCTTCCTCCCCCATCATCTACTCCCACCTCCAGCCCTCCACTTCTCACCCTCCTCCCTTTCCCCCTTATTCCTTAGCCTGTCATTGGGGTTTTCAGGTAGAGGATGTTGGAATGGGAGTTCAGACCCTCTGTTTTTCTGCGCTCATTCTTTCTTTCATTAACTCAAAAACCATTTATGAAGCGCCACTGTGTGCTAGGCCGTGCTTTACGTGTGTTCCTATGAACTAAGTATTCCCGTCCCAGTTTGACAGATCAGGAAATACTCGCCAATCTAGACACAGCCCAAATGACTCCAGAGCCACTGTGCCAAGCTGGCCCCCAGACGTTGGCCTCCAGACATGCTCCAGTGCTCGATGCTGAGCCCCCTGCCACCCGCAGGAGGTGGGCAGTCTTCGGGGTCGTTGCCTTTCAGGTACAGGGAGCTCATTCGGTTCCCAGTCGCAGGTAGTGGTGATGATGCCAGATGGATGCAGACCAAGTTCCGTTGCTGTGGCTGTGGGGATCAGAGGCCCAACCTCAGGAGGAAGCCAGAGCAGAGGCTTAGCAGCGGGAGATGTCCTGGCAACCCAGAAACTCTGCCCAGGGATCAAGAGTCCTAGAAAGTCCCCGGCTGTGTGGAAATTCCCCAGTCCTCTGTGCACGCCTGGTTCCTCTGCTGCTCTCTGCTCCCTAACAGGGCGCCCAGGCCGCCTGCTTGGCAGGGGCTGGGAAGATGGCCCTGGGGGACAGAGTGCCTGGCCCTGAATGGAAACTGGCGATGGTTTCATGAAGCCATCTAAACATGTAAGAGTCTGTTCTGTCTTTCAAACTGGTGGTAAGAAACTCCAGCATTCAACCTGCGGCTCAGGAACCCTCAGGAAACAGGCTTTATCTTCTCATGACTTTTCCTGAGGGTTTGTGTGGTGTTATACTCTCCCGTGTTGAAATAAGATTTCAGACTTCCCTCCTCTCCTCCTTTTGCTCTCAAATGAAGTTTTGATTGTGTGTGCTTGTATAGACGTAAAAAATAACCTCGGTGAGGGCTCAGGGGAAACCCGGGCTGGGAACTGGAGGTGAAGGGTTAGAGACTGAGACCTTACTATATACCCTTCGGTGCCGCTTTATTATTTTTTTAATCATGTGCATGTATTCTTGTTATAAGTACATGTTTAAAACCTAGAGTTTTTGTGTTTTTTTCTCCCCAAATCCCCCAGTACATAGTTGTATATTTCAGTTGTGGGTCCTTCTAGTTGTGGCATGTGGGACGCTGCCTCAATGTAGCCTGATGAGCAGTGCCATGTCTGCGCCCAGGATCCGAACCGGCAAAACCCTGGGCCACTGAAGCAGAGCATGTGAACTTAACCACTCGGCCACAAGGCTGGCCTCTAAAACCTAATTTTTTTGACAACTGAATGTTATCTGGTGTTCTGAGTTGGATCCTGGACAAGAAAAAGGGGGAAAACTGTGAAATCCAGCTTTTTTAAAAAAACTAATTTTAAGCAACTGAAGCAGAGGATGCAATGTCAGGGGTCTGGAAAGAGATGTTACTTCACATGGGACTGGACTTGCCCAGTCTCTTGGGATTTTCACTGACTGGAGATAGCAATGTGCCATCTTCTACAGGGTCCCTACAGAAGCTCCAAGGTGTGCATTCACTCAAAATTTTTTTCTACTTCTGCTTGACAGACACCTCTAAAATCATACGTGGCTTTTGGTAAATCCAATTTCTAGATTCCTGACTCAGTTCCCCTGCTGCGGACACACAGTCAACATCTGTGAATCCTTCTGCCCTCATTTCCCCAAATGGCAAGGGCCCGATCCTTGGCAATATCTTAAAAAATGATTACTGCAAGTTATTTTCCCCCAAATAGATAATCTGTGAAATTTAAGTACATTTTAAATAGGCTCCATAAAGAACTTTCTCCTCCAGAGGCAAGTCAGTGGACCAGTTTCAGAAGAGCAAAGCGAAGTCCGGGGGTAGCGGAAGGCAACAACCACTGGGATCAGGGTGCATCCCCCTTCCCAGCACCTGGGCTTGGCTCACCCACTTGATCTGCTGAGAACTTTGCCTGTTATTTATTTATTTGTTCTGTCAGTAACATCTATTGAAACAGACACGAAGGACGCAAGGTGAAACAGAAGCCAGTCCTGAGAGAGACTTCCTGCGTGGTGGGGGAAGGCCGGTAAACACAAAGACACAGTAGAAAAGCTGTAAGTTAAAAAATCGTCATCTGGAGCAGCCCAGGCTGGGGAGGATGGAGTCCTTGGGGTCACCGTGCTGTTCTGCATCCTCGACATTTCCCACCACGGTGCCTGTCACCGACCCCCCCAAAAAATATCACAGAGGCCTGCCTTTCCTCCCCAAGTGCTAAGTACTCTCTTCCCGGCCCTCTTTGTTGTTCAAGTCGGGCCTCTGCGCAGCCCTGAGACGCGGCTCCGGAGCCCTGGTGTTTATTAGAGAGAGAATCAGGAACAGGCGGCCAACGGGAGTCGACGGCTCTGCCCCCACCTCGAGATCCGGCTTTGATCCTGGCCCCGCTTTGATTTCATCTCCTCTGCTGCCCCGGCCAGTTTCGGAAGGTTATTTCAGAGCCAGTGGCTACAAGAAACCGAGAGACGGCACCCCCAAAAGGGATTAATGGCCAGGAAAGTGGTAAAATGTTAAGAAGCTTTTCCTGTTGTTTGGTTGGCACCATATAAATTCAAGTAAACACGAAATAGATTTTGAACCCACTGTGTTGAGTTTTTTTAAATGAGGATTCCTTTCTCTCTTTCAGTTATTTCTACCCAAAGCCGCTGAGTAGGAAGGTCCCCCGTCTGTCAGGACCCCATTCACACAGCTGACCAATAAGGTTCAAAGAACACTGCAGCCTCCCAGAAAGGAAACCATAAACTTTCCTAGCTTATGGTCCACACACTGGACAGGGAGAATGAGCAGAATATTTGTCCTCACACCCATTTCTCTCACATTTCTTTCTGCAGCGTGCCTATTGAAAATTTTAAATGGGGCTGATGCGACCCAAGCAGCTGAATTTTTTTTATTTTGTTTTAATTGATTTAAATTTAAATAGCCACATGTGGCTAGTGGCTACCATACTTAACAGCACGGCTCTATATCATTGTCCAGCAAATAATTTCTTTTCCTTTTTCTTTTCTTTTCTTTCTTTCTTCTCCTTTTTTTTTGGTGAGGAAGATTGTCGCTGAGCTAACATCTGTGCCAGTCTTCCTCTATTTTGTATGTGGGATGCCGACACAGCGTGGCTTGATGAGCAGTGTGTAGGTCCACACCCAGGATCTGAACCTGCAAACCCAGGCCTGCCAAGTGGAATGCACAAGCTTAACCACTACACCACCGGGCTGACACCCCAGCAAATCATTTCTTTGATGATTTTTTTATATGTAGATGCAAAGAGGTATTTAGTTGGTGCAAAATTATACGCTAGATCTGAATTCTAAACTCTCATTTTTGTTGTTTAAACAGAACTCTGGATCATCAAAATGATTCCTTCATTTTCAAACCAGATGGTCTCATATAGATTTAGCTGAACGGTGCGTTAAATATTACTATAGCAGGGCCGGCCCGGTGGCACAGCGGTAAAGTGCACACGTTCTGCTTCGGCGGCTGGGGATTCGCCAGCCTGGATCCTGGGTGCGGACATGGCACTGCTTATCAAGCCATGCTGTGGCAGGTGTCCCACATATAAAGTAGAGGAAGATGGGCACGGATGTTAGCTCAGGGCCAGTCTCCCTCAGCAAAAATAGGGGGATTGGCAGCAGAGGTTAGCTCAGGGCTAATCTTCCTCAAAAAAAAACCAATTGAATTAAATATTACTGTAGCATTCATCTATGGTCTTTCTTCAAAAGTAACAATGTGAGGGCACTTGCTGGTAAAAGGTTTATGATACTACAAGTTTCTTTAACTTTATCATTTGACTTAAACCACATTTTGATGATTTTTTTTTTTTTAAAGATTTTATTTTTTTCTTTTTTCTCCCCAAAGCCCCCCAGTACATAGTT